GTGACCTGGCTGTCCGACAGCGAGGTGGTGCGGGCGCCCAGCCCCGGCTGGAGGGCCCGGCAGTTCCGAGTGCAGGCGGTGCAGCCCAGCCTCATCCTGCAGGATGGTAATGGGCCCTCGCGGGCGCGCGTTCTCCGTCAGGGAGGGGGTTGGGGAGAAACTGCCCGAGGGATGGATGCATGCCGCCGAGGTGCATGACTGCTAGGGGCTTGTCACGTCGCAGAAACGCCACCCGTGTTTCTCCCATCCCCGAGTTCCAGCCCACTCTACCGGAGCCTTCCCTGCCGGAGACCAGCCTTGGCGCCGAGTAGCAGTGCTGAGCACTCAGTGAAAGCTGGCCCCACCCCCTAGTCCGGGTCTTGTGTAGGATACAGTAGCGCTGCACTTGTGATGAGAAATGTTCCGTTCTTTTCCCGAAGACCCGTCTGACATTTTCAGGCGCTTTTCCAGCAAGAAGACTTGATGAACGACACCTCACAGAGTGCAAGTCATGCTCTGTGCTTTTGAGGGCTGCTGACTTCATCTGCTCGGTGACCACCGGCTATGAGAAATGCCCACCTGTAGGTTTTCTAAGGAACTGTGGTTCCAATCTGCTCGTGCAGCCTTATCTTCCTGATAGATTTCTGTTCTTGATGTTGCCTCCCGAGAGAAAAATCTTGGTAGGGTACACAAGAAGTAGATTATGTCTTGAGTCTACGCTATGACAGATATCCTGTCTGGTTGAAAGCAAGGCCTGAGAAAGATGAATAAGGAGGTTATTTCCGGTGATAGTGGACTAATGTGTAGATACCCTTGGGCCTCTGTGAAAGGTAGGATAGGGTTCAGAAAGAAACTAATGGAATGAAATAAGAGTAGGACCCCAGTCTTCCCAATCCCATGCAGGCACTTAAATAATTGAGGTAATTAGACACAGCAGTACCATTTGTATATTAATTTCCTTTATTCTTTTTAGAATACTTAGTTGACTTCATTTGAAGCAACACATTTGAAGTGAGCCAGCGGACACCCAGTTAAATGGCATGCCTAGAGTGCACAGAGCAAGACAGTGGCAACAGTTAGGATTTGAACCAAGGCACAAGTTGCTTCAATACAATAAGGCTCATTTTAAGACCGGCCAATATGACAAATAATGAAATATTTTACAAAAATAATTTTGTCTTGCAGATGAGATCCTGATCACTTGAAATATAAAACATAGAAAGCACGATTCTAGACCTTACACCCCCACCCAAAAAGTCATTTCATTAAAAATTTAAATCTAAATATAAAGAAAACTGGTTTAGCCCTAACCGGTTTGGCTCAGTGGATAGAGCATCAGCCTGCAGACTGAAGGGTCCCAGGTTCAATTCCAGTCAAGGGCAGGTACCTTGGTTGCGGGCACATCCCCAGTAGGGGGTGTGCAAGAGGCAGCTGATCGATGTTTCTCTCTCATTGATGTTCCTAACTCTATTCCTCTCCCTTCCTCTCTGTAAAAACTCAATAAAATATATCCTAAAAAAAAAAAAAATATTTGTATAAAAAAAAAAAA